GTCTAAACTTACAAGGTTATCAAAAATCAATCGAAGATTGCAAAAAACTTGGTAGGCATTTTATGCCGTTTGCGGTTTTTTCGAACGTCGGGCTCCTCAATGATCATCATCAGGAGTTAACTGTCATTTGCAATTATATTATATGATGGCAGCACATCTTAGTAACTCTCCATAACCTAGAAACGCATTCCTGGGTTTCAGTTAACCTAACACGCCTTTCCGCAAACCAAAAAGTGGGAAACGGTTAGGTCAGAACAATTTATTTATATGATCACTGGCATATGCCAATTTTCGTATATAATGCAAACTGATTTGGTTGACAATTGATTTCCGGTCTACAACGTTTGGGGAGTAGTAACAATATTATTATGTACCCTAGTCAGACGAGGAGAAAGTTGTATTCATAAGCCCGGTGTATTCTCCAGTTGAATAGTATCTAAAATGGTCAAGACTCGCGCATGCCAGGTGACTATCAGCTGCATGACAAGATATGCAAGTGAGTGTACCACCACATCCCCTGCGTCACAGAGAACACATACCAGGGTTTTTACACATTAAGGTAATTGAGGCGGCGGTTTAGATCCCAACTAGTGTGGCATGCGACTGCGCTTGGGCCTGCAGTTATGAACTAAATACTGTCATTTTTTACGCGCGCACACTTCCAATTAATCCTGTCGGACGCCGATCCGGCCACCATGTTGGCCGAACGCACCTACCGCGTGGTCCGCTTTATGGGCACAGGAAGGTCACGCACCGTAACAAACGCACGCAAGATCAGCGATAGGCACACGATGGGTTTTGACAAAGCACCATAACAATCTGAGAAACTTTCGAAACTTAAAACTACCATAATATCATCAGCTAACCAGCGGCCATGACATTAGCAACACGCCGTTCAATTATTGCGGACTTGACCTTAATATTGATAAATAGCGCGTAGTAGACCAAACACTGTATGATGCGTTGGTAATTATTTTACAAGCATTATTTTCAAGTAGCAATCTTTACATCTGTCTTCTTTCGAACACAGTGATGGGTGCTTTGTGCGCATTATCTGGTATGCGGTTGGCAGGAGTTCTACATGATATGATCTCTCGTGATTTGGTAGTCCGCCTCACTTACTACATGAATTCGGGTAAGATAATGAAGGCACCAGACTTAGGACCTATAGATTGACTTTTAAAATATGGGTCGTGACTAAACAAATTACCCAAATATTGTCCACTATCTATTTAACCAACATTATTTTTGTGCTGATTTCCGACGTGTTTCACCACTGGGGACATCAATAATTCCTCTGTTTTATGCAGATCACTGAAACGCATCTTGCGTCCTTCTACCGTGTTGGATACATACCAGGAAGAATGTTACGATTTCGAAATACACCAAGGGCACATATAGGCCAAGTATAATTCATATATTCCGGTGTGAATTGCATACTTTCCAGCATTTCAATATGACCCTGCTGGTTTGTTATGTTTGACGAGATTTTCGAAACACAGGACATATCAACCACTTTTCTGTTTAATTGCGTGAATCATGATGTAAAATATACTTTGTCATGTCATTTATGATATCTAACAAACTCTGTAGATGAGTTCTGAAATTCTAAACTTATGCCGAACCGTACTTTAGCATTTACGTTATTGAACACAGTTTTTATAATTATTGTTTTAGATGATCAATGCTCTTGTCCAAACGGAAGTAAGATCATACGATAATGGCATACGTATTTGCACTTGGCAAAAAAGAAGATGCATTTTTATTCTTTAGATGAGGCGGTAGAACTACCAACGTGTAAACGTAATGGTGAGTATTGTTTTCCACAAATTCACGTGTATGAGAAAGGTACTTACTGCTAATCCTTATTTTCAAATTTAGTAATATTCGAATGTCCTGGACATTGCCGAGGATAACGAGTGAGAAAACACGATACGGATTTAATAATTCTAAGCACACTATAATACATGTTTTTTAATTTGGTTATGGCCATTATTAAGGAGTGCTGAGCATTACAATTATTTCATACTGTCTTCAAAACAGAATTCTATGAAGTTAATTTAAGCGAAATAAAACAGTATGATCCTGATGTGTGAAACATATTTTGCCAGTGAACAATGAATTTTGTTTTAGATGTACACGGTACTGTCCCAAAGAAAATGTTTCTGATATGTGTGATGCGCCCATGAAAACCCTCTTTCTTTTTGAATATGCTTATAATGATACGCAAGTGACGTTGGAAATAAAATTGTGTCGTTGTTTTTGATAGGCCTTATTATACTGGGCATATTTCGCTACGATGCGCTGCTGGTTAACAGTAAGTGCTATCGAAAGGTGCGTATATTAGTCAGCATGCTAATGTCAGAGGTCAGAGATATACCGCTAAGGACCTCAGCATCCTCGAAAGGATTCAAAGGCGTGCAACGAAACTTGTGACAGGAGAGGGTTCACTGCCATATGCAACACGGTTAGAAAACCTTGATCTCTTTCCCTGGAGTTACAAGGAGTTACAGGGTGACCTGATACAAAACTTCCGTATCATATGCGGTCAGGACTGTAATCTTGTATGGGGAATCTTCTTCGAGTTAGCAATCACTACAAGCCTACGAGGTCTACCATTCATACTACGTGTGACCGGGGCCGGAATGGAAATAGGAAAGTTTTTTTTATAACATAGTGCTTGATTCATGAAACGCCCTGCCTCCGGATGTCGTTATGCCTGCTTCTGTCGACGTCTTTAAGAGAAAGCTGGACCACTAAATTACTACCAGACCTATGTAACCTTGAAAAATCCCGTTGCTATAATACTACTTGCTATGCCACAGTAACATTTTAAATTGAATTTTTATCGTCTCCAACCCATCGCCTACGCTCGAGGCACGAAATGTGACCTGCCCGTTCGCCGCCAATTAGCGTTGACCTCTCCGCGTTTGACCGCCTGTGGGCTCGTGTCACTTTCGACCCGTTTGCGTCCGTCATAACTGTTGGCGAGCCAGCATGATGTCGGCCTCCCCATCTTTACTTAACAGACTAATCAGTTGTTGGGGTTCATATATATATTTTAACATAAAAGCAGAATATATACTTCAATTAATATTTCAATATTAAAAAAATGGAATTTTTTAAAAAGGTGGGAACTCAGAAAACGCGAAACAAATGCGTAAATGAGTGGACCGCAGCTTTGGTAGAACATGAGGCAGACAGTAGACTTCATATCTGCCGGTGGTCTTAAACTATAATTACTCATGACATCGGAAGCTAACGCCTGTATAGAAAAATAAACAAAACACAATATTTCAAAAAATAACCCTGTTTGGGTAATGATTTGAGGGCGCGACAAATGTGAGTAGCCTGGGATTATGAATCAACATTGTTGACGTACTTGCTTCCTATCAGTAGGCATACTTTTATTAGGTTACATATTTCAGGCGTGTCGGCCGCGCGGGGGTGTAATGTATTCGACCTCGCTTTGGGATACCTTGTTTGCTGCTGTGTTGCCATTGCCATACCTCCCGCATATACTTACAGCTGCCAATTGGGCGAAGGAAGGGCAGTTATGCTGTAAAGTCCTTCATGTTATTGCTCCCGTTCACATTTCCGCTCATCGACCACTTAGCGCGCTTGCTACATTACTACGACTGGGTAGTCCAGCTATGCTTGCTTGATTTGGCGTAGAGGCTCTGTCAGGATGACTATCCTTCACCTTAACCGCCCCGAGAACGAGGCGCTGCAAGACTGTCTATATGAGCTCATTGCATTGCACCCCCCACACCGATATCTTTAGTAAAAGGCGAAAGACTTAACCTTTGCGGATTGCGATTCAACTCGCTTTCCATTATGCTTCTAATTGCAAGCTGCTTCAGTCGTGTTAACAGACTGCTACCCTCCAACCCCCGCCTTTACGAAGCAGCCCGGTTGTATTCGATCGCAGGGGGGGAACTCCCATACCGCGTTCCATGCGGGAACCGCGTGAGCTGGCTGGGCGCGTAGGCGTTAAGTGCACTTAATCGGTGCAGGTCTGCCCTGTCAGTGCACCTGCCCTTTCTACATACTTCAGAGGCTGCACTAGCCCTTCGTGGCTTACCCGTACAGACGTTAAACCCGGTTGCTGGCCTCCTGTGCGGTCTTCTAAGGCCGCTTGCTGTTTGCTTTCTTTGCCTGCCATACGCCTCACTTCCCCTTCCTACACCCCACCGCAGCCGGCTTGGGACGGCTACCCAACCATAGGGGTTTGGCCTTGCCTTGCACTTTCACGGGCTTAGGTATCAACCCGGCCCTCGGGATTTCTTTGCGGTCTCTTTCGCTCGTTTTCTCCTTGCGCTTCAGCCGATTTCGTGCGCCCGTGTGGTTGGGCGGTTTGGCCGCCTTGCGGTGACCAGTTGGTTTGGCTTTCCCGTTATGCGTTCATCATTCATCGGTTTGACGGTCAGCGTACTTACGAAGTAGTCTTCGAATTGGTCAAGACCGGCAGTTAGGGTGTACAAAGGTCTTCCATCAATTCCTTCAAATACTACGAATTCTATCCCGGTAGACGCATTTTTGGCTGGGGTTATGGGACAAAAGAGAAAAAAAGTTCAGAGGTATAGTAAGGAATTCACTATTCCAGTGCGGAGTATGAAAGAATCACAAACTGTTTCCGTTGCACCAGTTTTTAATGGCCAAAAGGTCAATTGCCTGTCCGTTCAGTTGTTCTACCTGCCTGTTATTCCACTGGCTGCTATTATTGATCTATGTGTACAAAATCATTAACATCTCACTGCTTACCTTTCTGGTCAGCTGCTAAATATCTCGGTTTACGCGTGCGCTTCCGAGACTGGATAGGCCTGAGCCACATGGGACAGGAATCTTTCCCATGACTCTGCCAAATTACCTTCGATAAAGTCAGGCGACTATCCTTAAACACCGAAACACTTTTCAGTGCCCTTTTGGTATCACATCGGTTTACGACAGCGACATCTGACTTCCGTCGCCAGGACTCGTTTAGCTTGTAAATATTGCACTTAATATGGGGACTGGATAGTATCCAGGATCTCTGCAATCTCCGATGGATTATTAGCTTGCGGAGCGGCCTTACGTTTCTTCTTTGCTGTTAGCGTTCTATAAGTGGGAAACGTTTGGTAATTGTTGAAAAAATTAATAAACACGGCTTCAGCCCTCTCCGTCCTGCGTACTTTGCATTCATACTTACCGTTCTTCGGGTTCACTTTCCACGGCCCTGCTTGTCTTTGGCATTTCACCAGGATTCATCATCAGTGGCAGTATTGTTTGGGACACCTTCAGCGGAATGGCCTTGGGCATCTTTCTCCTATTGGTTGCGGCTTCCTTTTTGAATTTTCGGCACATTTTCACCTCAAACAAATGTAATTGTTTACTTTCTAAACCTCTTTTTTGCTATTTTTTCTTTACTCTTCGATGGGTTCCCCATTTACCCCACCCTTAAAACCCCCTTTCCCACCGATCCCGTATGACAGGGACCTCTCCTTTGCCTTGCACAGTCCAGGTTACATACAATTGTCCGACCGATGTGAGGTCATGGGAAGTAATTTTTGTTAAGAGTATAGGGTCTTCAGTGGTCTGCAAATGGAGGCTAGGATCAATCCTAATTTGGACGCGATCCACAATTTACCGACGCTTAGGTGGGGTCCTTTAGTCGGCCGCTGCCGCACAGCACGTGATCTTCCTCACGAAACTATATAGTATAAATTTATATTACTAATTTTACGTATGAATAAAATTGTTCTTTTTATTGGTATGCTTAACAAAGTTTGGAAATGTATCCTTTTTGCGTTTGAAATATGTCTATTAATGATTTTACCACCTAATTTGTTTACATCTATGAAATAATTCACGTAACCGGATATTCGGGCAACTTCCGAATTTGCGAATCAGGGCTTGTTCGGATTTCGGTGATTGTAGTCTTTCTTTGATGATTTTATCAAACAACAGTCGATTCAATTGAACATTCATCTTTTAAATGGGATCTTGAAAATCTGACTGCAATTGCACAGAGTATTTTTGCAGACGCATGCGCTCTCCTTTCGTGAGAAATAATAAACGTATCTTTACGTTTCGCACTACTTGGCGTTATCATTTCAGTCTACGAACAAATTTTCAACAGCCCAAATTTTTTTACCGGACTTTATTTTGCACCGATTTTTTTCTGCGCATGCTTTTTCAAGTTTTTTAAATAACCCACATATTCTAAGGTGGCTGAAGTGGTGTATGGGAGATTTTTTTCAACGAAGCCTTCCGGGAACGTTACACGGTCTGGGCCTTACAAAAAAACATTGCAAACACATTTTTACAGTTTCGACCTTGGGAAAAATTTCTCCCTAATCCATTCAGCTTTAATACGCATGTCTGAGATATGCGTTTCTGACTAGTCTACCGAGCATGCAAGCCTGCTTTTTCTAATTAAATTTTTCCATTCATAGTCACGAGTCTGCTTCTACAGCAAAACCTCAGATAGAAGTTGTGAATTCCCGGGATTTTACACTCATAAAAACGTTTTTATACTACGCAAAAAAGATGTATATTTGTATAGTTTAGTGGGAGCTGGAAGGTAGGGGAAGTCGAAATATGTGAATGCAGATAGTGGATTTGTTTTTTTTGCGAAATTACAAAAAAGCCGAAAGGGACTTTTTACCGGTCTTAAAGGGAAAGCGTATATCGACCAACTTAAATTTCCAGGAGTTCCATGTTTATGCTACCAATATTTAGGCACCTGTCAGTGGTTTGACAATGTGTCGCATATGTTGATCGTTCAACAAAACGTCAACGCGTTGGGCCGCCCAAAGCAGATACCATATTGTTGTCGGGGTCGGGTTCAGTTTAAAGAATAAAGAAGTCAATTTTTTAGCGGCCAAGAAGGAAATCTCTTGTTGCTAATTAGAACCTTGTTCTGTGCTGTTTTGTGTCGCATAAATGTGAATCCTCGACAAACTTGGACGATATTGATATTTATATGGTAAATTTCTGCGGTTTCAACAACACGAAAACATTTTTATCACTACACACAAAGATGAGAGCACGGGCAAAGTTTACTTGGACCTGTTAAGGCCATCCAATGTGATGAGAGCAGATGTATTCCGAAAATTTAATGAACAGATTAGTTTCCTCGTAAAATTACAAGAGATCCGAAAGGGATTTTCTACTGCTATTTAGGAGGAAGCGCATTGAGGTCAATTTAAACATATGGGGGTCTCATTTTTATGCGAGCGCTAAAAGGCCCCAGACGTGTGGATAGGGAAGCGAAATCGATTTAGTCGACTGAAATATGCTAGTTTGCACGCAGTGTTCAATTATTTCACAATGACTGGAAAATGATAGCAGGGTAAAGGTGGATCAGATACGGCCGTCGGGAGACAAAACAAATGTGCCTGGTTCCAGAAGGATTACGCACTGGACACGTACGTCTAGTGAAGAGTACTCTTTAAGTAGTTTGCAGATTATTCCCTGTGATGTTAGCAGAGGTGGCTTGGCTACTTATCGTAATGCCTATTTTCCAAAACTTTGAATTGTTGCATTAACTTTTAGTCACTCAGCTGTCTCAATATCGTGCTATTCTAATGATAAATTATGAGTGTGGAAATAGTCTACAGCTTAGGTTTCCTTTTTTCTGATCTCCCGGACATGTTGCTTGGCAAATCGGATCTCTGCTGACAGCTGCAGACAAGTAAAATCTCGGTAAACGACAGTCCACATAAGGCATTTTCACTTGAATACTCATATACCGAGTTGGAAATTGAGATTAAGATGTGGTTCTGTAGTCCCACCTGATAGACGCAATACTGTCGGCGTTGGTGTATGTGATTGAGGATAAGGGTCAGTTGTTTAAAGTAGGAGCAAGGGTCAGCAGTTAGATTTAAAGGGTAAGGTCAGAGGTTAGTGTTAACGTTAGAGGTTAGGGCAACTATTTCTCAGCTACTCAGTGTACAACCGCGATTTCCAGCAGACTTTCTTTCGCGTATAACTACTTGACCTCGTCGCCTGTTCGTGCTTCGGTCCCACCTTTAAAAACTCCTATAACCACCGATCCAGTGTTACAGGTGGTTGGAGTTTCATTGAGTTTGAGAGTTTTACCAAACAAGACTTTGCTCGTTATTTTTTGCCTGAGAGAAATCTGGAGAATCTGGTTGTATTTGCATAGACCATTTTGCCGGATGTAAGCGTTCTGCTTACAAAAAGAAATAATAAACGCTAGCTTTAGGATTTGCGTTACCTGGCAGTATTGTTTCAGTCTAAGAACAAATGCTTTACAAGGCTAATTGTTCGCCGGATTTTATTTTCATTGATTTTTTTCTATACATGTTTTGTCAAGTGTTTAAATAAATCTCCTATGTGCTAGGGCGACTGAAGAGTTGGATGGGAGACTTGTGTCAACAAAGCCCTCTGGGAATTTTACGGAGTCTTGGCCCTACAACGTGGCCGATACAATTTCACAGTTCTGACCTTGAGAAAGTTTCCTTCTTAATCCCTTTAGCCTTAATTGCACAGGTCTTAAACATGAGTTTCTGACTAAACTACCAACCGTGCAGGCCTGCTTTTCCTTATTCTATTTTCCATTCACAGTCACAAGTCTGTTTTGTTTCAACTTTCGCAGATAAACATCAGATTTTAGCGGTTTATACTCCGGGTTTCATCCCCACGAAAACATTTTTGCCTATTACGCATGCGAAGATGAGTGCGGTCATGAAAAACCCATAGCATGTGATGAGGGTAGTGGTAGTCAACGTATGAGTATGCAATGAGCGGATTTGTTTCTTTGCGAAATTGCAAAAAACCCGAAGGGAACTTTTCCCTCGCATTAAAGGTAAGCGTGGTGTGTCTGTGTGTCATGCATGTTAATCCATGTCAACTCATTTAGACCGTCCGAAGCTGATAATATACTGTTGGCGAGGTAAGGTTTAACTTAATGGATAAAGGAAGGAAATTTCTAGCCGTCTATAAGAATGAAAACCCTGGTTTCTAATTAGGACCATCTACCGCACAGTTTTGTATCGCATAATGGTTCCTCTTCAATTAACCTTGGGAGATAGTTATACAGAAATTGTCGCATTGTGGAATATGCAGAATGCACCAGTAGGACCCCAGAGTAGTTTATGCGGAAGTCAAATCGATTTAGTCGACTGGCGTATGTTAGTTTGCACACAGTGTTCAATTATTTCAGAATGACTGGAAATGATATCAAAGTATACGTTTACAAGAAATGACTGGTAGAAAGACTGATCATAATTGTGTGGTCCTAGTCCGTGTACACACTAAGTACGTCCGTTTAGTCGACCCTATGCCTAACGTAGTTTGCCAATGGTTTCCTTATGGTATTCAAGTATATATATGCATATATAAAGCGCCAGAAAGAAACCTCAAGTCCCTACATCAATGGATACTTGCGACAGCGTAGGCAGTGGCCATACCACTGACGAATTCAGCCTTGCGCTCGCAGAATGCCTTCATTTAAGCCCTCCTGGGCAAAACTGAGTCACGAAAATTCCGACTCGCATCAGGGCACGTCGGGCCTCAGCCACGACACATAAGCAAAACTCCATCAGGCTACCATATTTCCTTCCCTCTTCCTCTCCCCCGTCCCATGCCACTGAGATAAACTAGTCTATAATAGTCCCGCTGCTCCACAAGGCTGAACACATTTAGCCCAAGTGATGACTGCTGTTCATAAGTTGTTTTGCGCCTCAAATTTCTCTTATAGAACAAGTTAAAATCAAAAATCCTTTGGAAGGTTTCCTACGGTATTTGGGTATATTCGAAAACGCATTAGGTTTGTTCAATATCCGAAAGTTCTAAAATCTGGCAGTACCTCTCCGCTCTATCTTTAAATTATTTTGTTACAAGCATTTGTATTCCCAGACCAATGAATCCTACATATTCTAGCATTCAGTACTACGGAATGCACTCAATTTTTCAGAACAGGCTTATTTGGATTGGCGTATGCATTTAGTTACCTAATTCATGAAAGGAGTCAAAACTGTCAGTCATTCAGAGAACGATGACATTGCGTGGACCCATTGCCTATATAAACAAACAAATTATTTTATGTAACGTTGCATTATTTAGGAATGCCAACTTTTTCTCTAAAAAACGGTAAATTCCTAAATAAACGTCAAAAATTGTTGTAATTTTGCTACAACTAGTTCTTGATGTACGCGAAACACTGAGTAAACATGGCCACGAAAATAAAATGACGTCAAGCAGTAATCCTTTGGTGAAGTTTACCTTTTAATATCTTTAATAATCGGTGTATGATGATTTGTCAACATAGAATCATGTTTGTTCTTTTGCCT